TCCTGAATCTTTTGTTCATGGTTATATAGTCAGTTTGGTTTTTGGTTTCTCCTCCTGGACTCCACCATGTCCATAGTCGTCTCAAACGTTCTTGGTACCATGTGTTGGCTATTACCTAGTCATTGGCTGTGCATCATTGGTTCCATTTTTTCTGCATTTGTTGTGAGTTCCTAGTCTGAATCTTCTTGCTATATCTCCTGCCCTCTCCCTGCCTACTTTGGCATTTAGGTCTCCCATGATAATGATGACCTCCTGTGATTTACATAGAGCCTTTGCATTGTCTAGCATGGAGTAGAAAGATTCAATGTCCTCTTCTTTTCTTTGTGTCGTCAGTATGTATACTACTATGATAGCTATGTTGAAAGGCTTTCCTTTCAGCTTGACTACCAGAATATTTTCAGAAAGTTGGTGGTATCCCAGAACACATTTTTTAAATGCGTTATCTAGTATTAATTCTACTCCTTTGTCGTTTTTCTCACTGCCTGCATAAGTTATCCTGTGTTTGTCACCGACAAAATCACTGTTGTTTGGCCATCTGTTTTCACATACACCAAGGATGTTGATGTTATGCCTGCTTATCTCTTGTTTCACATTATCTAACTGACTGCAGTTGTTCAGTGTCTGAATGTTCCAAGTCCCGAGAGTTATTTTATGTTTGATGCAAGCAGTTGCAGGATAATAGTCTGGTGACACCTGTTGCTCATGTCATTCCTTTCCAGGCGAGGTATAGGTTCTGAGGACTTTTATCCCCTTTACACTGTTTATGCTAACAGTCACTGGATGACAGATGACACTGGTTGTGCATGTCAGTCCTTACTGGGCGAGGAGGTAGTTCCCATAAATGTAACCCCTTACATGCCATTAAGTTTCACATTGTCTGAGTTTTTGGCCATGATATGTCTTGGGATTGATAGTGGAGTGGTTTCCTGTTGCCTTGCTCCATGGTGGTTTATGGAGACACCACCTCTAGTTAGCTGGCCATTGAGATTTCCTCCGCCCTTTGTTTTTTGTCTTACTTGCTTGCTAATGAGCCGCCTCACTCAGAATATTGAGTGGGTTAGTTGGTTTAGTTGCCGATGTTTCAATTGGAATACTTACTGAGGTAGGGGGAAAAGAAAAGAGAGAAAAAAAAAGTTTCTTTTTTTTTTTTTAAATTAAGTTTTAACTTTATATAAGTCCCATTGCCCCCTACTAAAACAATATGTGATTATCCAGCATTGTGGAAAAATGCTTCTTTTTACTTACAGTTGGAACTTTGTGTTAAATCTTGCTAAACTCATTTAGTGGAATGCTGTGGCTGACTTTAACAAGATACATTTCCATTTCAAAGACCACTGAGCTGTGGTAAAGGGTGGGGGTGGAACCTGTCATGCCATAGTAAATGTCCCTTCCACAAACGTTGAGAATGGTAACTTTGCGTTTTAAATAAAATAAGACAAAGAAAAGGGAGAAAAAAATGTTTCTTCACTTTCCTGTCTTTTTTATCTAGCACATAAAAGTCCCACTAGTTGCAAAAACCCCAAATAAGCTTGATTTACACATGCTATGTATGCTTATGACAATTTTTGTTTTTAATTTACAAATAACCTAACTAGTCGGAAAATTAAAAATTAAATTAGAAAATATCAATAAATAAATACAAAAATATAAAAACAGATACCATCACAACATTGTGGAAAATACAATTCTTTCTACTTACAATTGGAACCTCATGTTAAATCTTTCTAAACTCAAATCAAATGGTCATTTAGTGGAATGTTGTGGCTGATTTTAACAAGATATGTCACCATTTCAAAGACCACCAAAGTGTGTATAACTAATGCATTTAATAAATTGTTGTGTATAAGATCTCTTTTGTGTTCATAGACATATTTTTTTAAAGTTCTGCAAGTTTCTCCAATGTATTTTGAGGAACAGTTATACTAATTTGCATAAACTTAAAAAAATTTGAAAAACCGATAACATTTTTACTCTGATACATACATATACATAGTATATATATATATATATATATAAAAAAATCTCGAATGAGGAAAGCAATAAGAAAAAGACTTAAAGGCAAACACCTACCTACTCTGTAAAGTAAAGAGCAAAAAACATTTGACAACATTAATTCCTATGAAAGGATGGTCCTAGTTGTAACTAGAGTTTCATTCTCACATGATCTTCAGACGACTTGAGTTCAAATGAAAGATGTGCAGACCACTTTTATAAAATATCACAGGAAAAAATAAAACAAAATAATAAAGACTACCCTTTGCTTATTTTCTTTTTTCTCCCCTGTGAGGGTGTGGTTTTCCACAGGTTTTTAAATAAAATTATTTTGTTTTATTTTTTTCCTGTGATCTTGTAAGGAATGCAGTTTACAGTCATGGATTATATAAAAGTGGTCACCATTTGTGTTCAAGTTGTCTGAAGATCACATTAATGTGAAACAAGTCATCCCATGATCTGCCATATTCCTCTTTTGCTCACTGTGTTGAATGCTTTAGTCACATCAATGAGTGCCACATATAGCCCCTTGTTTTGTTCCCAACATTTCTCCTACAGCTACCAGAGAACAAACACCATGTCTGTTAAGCTCCTGTTGGTTCTGAAGCTGCACTGACTCTCTGGAATGTGCTGTTTCACGATGGCGGGTACCAGCCTATTCAACAAAACCCTTGCAAGGATCTTTCCTGCGATGGAGAGCAGAGTAATCCATCAGTAATTGGAGCAGTCAGATTTTTCCCCTTTGTTCTTGTACAGGGAAATGATGACTGCATCACAGAGATCTTGTGGTATTTTACCCTGCTCCTAACAACAGCAAAAAGCATGTGGATTATATAAATCCACATGCAACATTGGGCCCCATGCTTCCAGATTTCAGGTAGGATTCCATCAACTCCTGCTGCCTTGCCTCACTTCAGCTGCTTTATGGCTTTTGTTGTCTCTTCAATGGTGGGCAAATCATCCAGTTCCATTTTTACTGGTTGTTGGGATATGTGGAGAATTACTGGTTCCAGGACCAAGTGATTAGCAATAAAGAGGTCCTGGAAATGCTCTGACCAACGCTTGAAGATGGATGCCTTGTTTGTAAGGAGCATCTGTCTGCACTGTGCATAGGGCTCTGAACCTGATAGATAGAGCTATATACTGCCTTTAAAGCTTCATAGAAGCCCCTGATGTTTCAAGTGTCTACATACAGCTGAATTTTTTCAGTGTTTCAGGAGAGGAATCTTTGGGGGTGCTTGCATCTTCAAGCCTTGACTCAAGTGCTACTGGGAAGTTAGCTTTCACTTCATCTGATTTAAAACTGCCAACCTTGAACTTTTTACTGAGGGTCCCTGCTTTGAGTTTAAAGTGAAGCTTGAGTTTGCAGTGAACAAGGCGATGACTAATATGACATTCTGCACTCGGTATCACTCTTGTGAACATGGTGTCTTTTAGGTGACACTGGTGCACTATGGCATAGTTAATGAGGTGCCAATGCTTAGACTGAGAATGCATCCAGGTTGCTTTCAATCGGTTTTTCTGTTGGAAGATCGTGTTTGTGATGACGAGCTGATGCTTTGCGCAGAACTATTAATAGCAAGTGCCATGGTTGAGGGAATTATGGCAAATCTTTTTTTTAAAGAGAAAATAATAATAGGATGGACATTCCACTATTTATTAAAGTAAATATATTGTCTATGTATTTTATCAAATTAACACTAGTAATTATTTTTCTTTAAATCAGAAAATAATTACTTCATTTTAAATAATTTATTTGTTTTCATATTGCTTTTTAAAAAAGGTATTTTATGCTTAAACTGTTTTTTGTCAGTAAAGTAAAAAAGTAAAGAAAGAGATTGATTTCATGAAAAAATATTGTTAATTAAAAAATAAATCTATATAAAGTTGTAAACCATCTTTCATGTCCTGTCTACAATAGAAAAACTTATATGTAATATAATATAAAAATATATTTTTGAAAGTGTAGATATCTTTTGAAAATTTAAATTTAGTAAAATTTTTATTAATAATAAAAAATAATTCAACAGAATATTTTTGAAAGCATAAATAATTTTTAGAAAATTAAATTAAATGTTTAGTAAAATGTTTATGATCCCCACCCCACCATGTTTAAAACAATTGTGTATATTTAGAACAATTTGTTTGTTTTTGCATTCATTTTTAAAATTTAATATCTAAACTTTAAAAAAATATTAATTTCAATAAAATGGTAAAAGAGAGTTAAAAATTTCCTGATTAAAAATATTGAAAAAGATGACTTATGTCATGGAGGAATATTTGATTGTAAAGAAAGCTACTGAAAATTACCTCCCAAAATATCTATGGGGATTTATCCTATTGTATTTTTACAATTTTTGTTTTGAATATTTGAATAAATAATTTTTCCAATAATTGTATTTAATATTCTTCTTTTAAATTTACTTTGTTGTTTTAATATTCATTTTTTTAAAGTTATGCTTTTATTTACTACAGATACGGAAATTAATTCAAGAGAATAGAAATTTTAAAAATACATATAGCGTTTCGAAATTATCAGCAGAATTAAAAAGTAAAAACAAATGGGAATAATAATTATTCCTGTTCATTTTTACTTTTTAATTCTGAGAATTTCAAAATGTTTACATGCCTAAAAATGCTTTCTAATGCAATTATTATGTATTTTTAATATATATATATATATATATATATATATATAAGACAACTGAATGCTGTACCAATAATTGATACTCTGAGAAGTTATTCACATTTATTGTACTTTACTTTGTCTGCATTATAATATATGATTTCATACTTTATTCCAGTATATTTTTTCAAATATTGTATTTGCATGCACAACATCATACATTTTCCCCTACATGACCACTTTCAAATATATACCAATAAATATATGATGAAACATACTAGAATTGTTTTTGCACAAAATATCCTTGTAAAATAGGAGTGGGGTATGTTATGTGAGTGTGCATTTTATGTGAAGGTAAATACAGTATGTTATGTTTTTTCAGGAACAGTACCAAAGACAGATACTGCAGAAGATAGAGGCAAAAAAGAAACTGAATCCACAATTCATTCGAATGAAGATGAACTAAAATATGGCAGCCAAAATAGTGGCCAGGTCAGTTGACAAGGTTTCATTTAATCAACATCTCTTTCATTGACACATTCAGTGTAACTTTGCAGGTTTGAACTCTTACATAATGCCATCTATGTTTTTATTAGTGTTACTATTAGAAATAAGACTTCATTTTGGTAAATAAAATGAAATTTATTAACATTCAGAGTTACCTTCAGTATTTGAATCTTTACATTTATGTTTTTGGTAGATTAGATTGATCTGTTTTTTAAGGCTTATCAACCTTTTTCAGGTAATTTAAAACAAGATTGAACTGAGACTGTTGTGTTTACTATTGGAAGGGTCTGAATCCATCTTTTCTTCCACCTCCAGGAACTGGTTAATAGCAGTGAAGGTTGGGAACTCTAGCTTTGGTTTGAAGTTAGTCTAGGTGAAGGGTAACAATTTAAAACTGGTTGGAATTGGGGATAGCAACTCAATCCTGTAAAAACTAACTGTCCATGGAAACCACAGCAGCAACGCCTAGTGTGGTGAAGCTGTAGCCCTAGTATACTGAGGCTGTGACCCTATGCTCTACAGGGAAGTTTACAGGGTTAACATATAACAACATATTTCAGTAATTGACTTGATCTTCTTTTAAATACAGTGTTTTGATGAATGTGCCTTACTTTAAAATAGTTGAACTTTTCAAATTGATGATGTTTTGATACAGATGAATGTTAGCAGTCAAACTTAAGTTTGTATTTTTTTGTAGGTGAGTAATGCTAGGGAGGCCTTGCAATATGAAAGAATCCATTATCTATGAGATATTGGCAGGGTGTAATGTATGTGCTTACTGAAAAACAGAGGTACAAGCAGGATGATGATTTTTGCTATATGGAAAAAAGAAAGCATCAGCTTAGATTGATGCCAGGTATATAAGATTTTAGGACTACAAAGGTGATGGATGTCATGTTCTTCCAGAAAATACACTGAATATTAACAATTAATCATTTTGAAGTACCAGACAAAACAAGTTTATTATGCTGTTAAAATGCTTATAAAATCCATTTACATAAATATGAAATATTTATGAATATTTTCTATTTTTGCTGACAATTTTCATTGTCCTTTGTGCATTCTCCTTTTTAGTTTTAATTTTTTTGCTTCTCGTTGAAAGCTGCCAGTGAAAAGCATATCAGAAATCTCCAGGCCAAAAGCAGCTCCAAGAAAGCTCAAACCTGTCGATGTATGTACCTTTTGAGCTTTTATTACAATTTACTTAGAATTAATTCTCTGAAGAAAAATTAATTTCTTTGTTTATCTTGCAAATATTCTAAGTAGGTTTAATCAATGGTTTAAATTCAGAGCAATAATATCGGAGGTTCAACTTTTACACATGTCAGCATGAGTTTTGTTACATTTTAATGTTACAGATGTTATGATATGTTTTAATGTTATGGATTTTGTGTTACATTTTAATGTTATGGATTTCATATTACATTTTAATGCTATCTATTTTATGTTACAGAATTTATGTTACATTTTAATTTTGCAGATTTTATGTTATGTTTATACTATATTTTAATATTATTTTTTAAGTTACATTTTAATATTATGGATTTTGTATTACATTTTATATATTATATAACTCTTGGTTACAAGGACTGTTAGTGTTCCTTGCTTATTAATTAATGTGAAATTGAGGCTATCAAGGTAAAAAATAAATATTAGAAATACTTATTATTATTGTTGTTGTTGATATATTGCACACACACACACACACACACACACACACACACACACACACACATACATATATAAATGAAGGTTTGCTGAAAAATCTCAACTTAACCCATTTCCAAAATCAAGATCAAAGGATCAAAACCTGATACCAAGAATTTTTCAATATTCCTTTGTGTATGTATATATTGAAGATAGTGTTTGTTGATATAGAATAGATGTAGAAATTAAAATACTAATGATTGCTGAATGAGTGAAACTGCTAGTCATCATTCAATGTTGATTTCTATGTCCACACTGTTTATATCTACATACACTCTCTCTCTCTGATATTGTGCACTCTTCCTATATAAATATTGCAAATTTTAACAGTTGTACATTTAATGATTGTTTTATTGAAATCTTCTGATGTGGTCTGTCTGTCTATTTTGTCCTGTCTATCTAGCTAAGTCTATCTGTCTGTTTAATGTTACATTTTTCTAGTTTGTGTACAAGTTGGATATAACTGTGGAAATGTAGTGAAAGATTAAACAGACTTGGTTGTTCAATTTCAATAAAACATTTGAATGAATTCTTACTGCCTAAATATACACCTTGTGTGTGTGTTTAATTCTTATTACCTGATCCCAGGGATTACCTGTTTGGTCAAATTAACAAATGTGACCATAAGTAACAATAACAACTCATCCAACCTACATATACATTTATCATGTATGTTAAACATCATTGATTTATAGAGAAACTAACAAATAGTTTTTTTTTATTAAATTTGGTAAAATTAAAATAAGGTCAAACTCTAGATGTTTTATACCAATCTGTTTTTATCTATCTCATTATGTATCTGTCTTCCTTTATATCTTATGGCTAACCTAATTTGTGTTGTTTTATGTTATAGGCAAGAAATGGACATGTCACTGTTGAAAATGGCTCCAAAGACTCATTGGAAGAAAGTTGTCTTCCAGTTGTCGATGTTGAGAAGAAAGATGATGTGAACAAAGTTAAAATAAACAATATTCACAATAATGATGATGTTGCCAACCATAAAATGCCTATTTCACAAACAAATGGTTTTTCCCCAAATATTGTGAGTAAAAATAGAAAAACTTTCATATTTTTCATATTCTGTTTGGAAAATATATCTACAAGTATTGATCTGTATTTAGAAAGTGGAATATAGTGGAAAACCCTACCATGGGTTGACCCAAGCTCTGTGAGCGAAATTGGGTAGACAGAATTGTTTGCCGATAGTTGTGCAAGCATGAAGTAACAAGTCATCGTGACTGAGGGTTTGAGCATAGTGGCCTGTGTTCAAACTGTTTTCTTGTTTCTGTTCAATATTTCCTGAATTTTAAACTAAACAAATAACATTCTATTCATCATTAAATAATTATAGTTTTTATGTCCAAGAAGAATCCACTACATTGACCAGTCATGTTCAATACTTCCTGAATATTATTAGTAAGACTTGTATCACTAAACAATTATCTCTCACCCGCAAATTCTTACAATGTAAAAGGGTTGACCTGTAAAGGGTTGATAAGTAGTAAAAAACAAATGAGTAAGTAATAAACTTAACTACTTTTGACATATGCAATTATATATATTGCATCCTGATATATATTATATTAAATGATATTTAATCATACTAGTGGGAAATTGCCTTTGCCATCCAGGCCCATGACATCATTTTTATTAACTGTTTCCATCCTTTTATTCACTGATTGTATAATTTATGAACCACTTGCTTTGTGGAACCAACTTCCAAAAGGATGCTTCCCCGATTACTACATTCTTAACCTGTTCAAATCTAGAGTCAATCATTATGTTCTCCACTTATGCCCATGAACTGTGCATCTTACTCTGCAACCCTTTACTTTGAGTGGCTCTTGAGCCTTGTAAAAAATTGTAGAGAAAAATAGATTTGCACAAATACATACATAAGAAGAAACACTTATCTTTACATTTCTGCTCCCAAATTACACATGTATTTACTTCCTTTGTTCACAGAGTAATGGTGCTACTGTCAGTGCCATGATTGTTGAAGATGAAAGTGAAATAACATTATCTCAAGAGAAGAAGAAAAAGAAAAAAAAGGAAGATAAAGGAAAAATCAAGACAAAAGAAAAGGGTTGGTTCCTTGATTAATTCTTTTATTTGATATATCCTTAACTTTTGTACCTGACAGTGCTTCAGAAATGTGAACCTGCTTCGGTACAAGAAATGATAATAATGTATACATCTAGCAGTTATATATTATTAACAACTCTATTGCCAGAGAGTAGCATCATCAGAAAGCAGGTATTAATCATAGCAGGGTGTGGAGGACAAAATGAAGACAAGGTATGATTTTCAAAAGAGGATTTTAACATTATCTGTTGTACAGCAGTTAAAGAAGAAAAAAAATTGAATTAACATCATTTGTTGCTGTTGTGGTATGATCCACCTAATTTACATAGTGGAGTACCGACCATATAAATATGGTTGGTACCGGGAAGACGAGGGAGGAAGAAGAGATCCAATCCAGAGACTCTGCCTGACTGCGACTAAGTTAACCCATTCTACAGGAACGGTCTTCCCAAGAATATACCAAACTATCTGTAAATATTGTGTACACGTTCTTCTGTCAATACATTTTGTTTAATTACATTTTGTGTTGTATTATTATTATTCCATGCTTTATTCAAGTTTCAACAGTTGCTTAACTGGTTAATTAGTATCAGTTACCCTTTTTTTTAAAATGCCACAATCTTTTATGACGTAGGTAGTCTTGGTTTTCCACAAACTTCTTTGGAACGAAATTGTTCTATTTTAATGACAACTCAACTCTGTCAGTTATTTAATGCCAAAAAGATTTTGTTTATTAAATATATGGCTTGTAAATAATCCTTTGGATCATTGGTTCCATCATTATGCATTTTAGAATGGAGTTATTTAATGTTATAATTAATGGTAGAGATCAACCTCCTTCAAGTAAATGAAAATAGTCTCAAGACTAGTCACGTCATAAAATCATTGAAATATAGCAGCAAGATCACTACAATCAGTTAAAATGTTTTACAGTATCTGCCTCCTGACATACAGTGAATTCAAGAGAATGTTTATTTTTTACGAGAAATGAGTAATATTGGTTTGCCCTATTCTGATTCTTGTTAGGACAGATTCTTTGTTTGGAGAAAGTCTGAAACCATGATGCCATTCTCCTACAGTGGGTTTAATTTAAATATAGACTAACCTCATTCAAGTAGGCTAGCATAGTCCTTCTTGAAAAGGTTCCCTAGACTTGTCAGCGGCTTTATATCATATCCAAAAATTTAATTTTTTCTCTACTGATTGCTTCTTTTATGTTGATGGTGTTGATGACTCCATTCACTGCCAATGTGCAGGTTTAGGACTAGAAGCTTCCAGTTTAACCAAAACCTGCTCCCATCATTCATTCCCTATCATTGTTTGGCTTTGCAAGAGTTGGTTGGAGGTGAAAGAAAGTGCTGATAGTGTGAATTTGTTTAAGGTGAACATCAACTTACCAGGATTTTGATTGATTTGTTTAGCAGTATATCAACTCCCTATGGGTCATTTAATACATAAATTTAATTTTTTTCAAAGCTTTGAAGTAATAAAAATATGTTGTTCTGCTTTCACAATTGAATACATGGTAGATGATACTCAGCCTTTATGCATATACATGTTTGTGTGGATATAATTACTAGAGGCAGTGATATGTATTTTATGTTGAAATTTTGTTGATGTTATATTTTGGAATACATTTTAAGAAATTGTAGGATATTATATGGATTAATGTCATGAAAGAGTTCTTTCATGTTGCTTGCTTGGTTGATTTTGTTTAGTGGCACATCAACCTCTACAAGCTATTCAATGCTGAAATCCAAATATCCCAAACGCATCTGTCTGTATACCTTCAAATACAGAAGATGCATTGTTGGTAATTATATATATATATATATATATATATATATATATATATATATATATCTTGGTATTGCTGATATTTTTATACTTAGCTGGGAAACCTAACAGGTGCTACCAATCCAGCCAACTTACGAGGAAGTGACCTGCATACTTGATTTCATGACATTCCTCTGCCACATATTCCCTAGACTTGTCATGTTATAAAACCATTGATGTATAGGAACAAAGGTCACTACAATCAGAAGAGAAAAATCCAGACAAAAAAAGAAGGTTGGTTGGTTGCTGAGTTCTTTTATTTAATGAATCCATAATTCTTGTAATTGACATAGCTTCATAAATGTGAACCTACTTGAGCATAAGAAATAATATATATATATCTACTATTATTTACATTGTGACTAATGTCCTTGTCTTTGTTATTATTATCACAGCTTTTCAGTCATTTTTGTCCTACTGTCTTCGTCAGGTGTAAGTCAATCCAGCTAACCATCAGGAATTTTTCAAACTGAAACCTCTATTATATCTACCAAGGTAGATTGATCCTGTTCCGCAATCCATTTCTAGGAATGATTTGTTTTTATTTAGTAATGCTCAGTTATTGCTAACTGTGTTTCCAGTGAGTATAAGTCTCTACTACCTGACCTAGGGATTGAACTCAAAATTACTATATCATTAAATTCATGCTTTAATTCACTAGGCTATTTTAGTGTGGATAATTCTGAATCAATAACTTGGAGCTTTAAACCTATTGTTCTTCTTTCTTGCCTGCTGCTGTCATTTTTGACCACATTCTCTTCTTTATGGTGGCTGCTGTCATTCTTGACCACGTTCTCTTCCTTATGGCGGCTGCTGTCATTTTTGACCATGTTCTCTTCCTTATGGCAGCTTCTGCTGAAACGTTGCTGTTATTTTTCTTTATTTATTATAAATTTTTATTTGTATAGCATGTATATATTACTAGCACCTGTAGTATCAATATTTTTTCACTGCTGTCTTTAGGCCAAAAATAGAACAATGGGATTCCCCAGGGAGTAGTCAATATTACGAGAAAGCAGGTATTGATTACAGTAGGTTATGGAGGACAACATGAAGACAAAATGCAATTTTCAAAAGGCAGATGTTAACATTTTGTGTGTAATGGTTAAAGTATAGAAAAGTTATGGATTCTCAACAGATTCCTTTGATTTTTTTGTTTTCTTTTTTTTTAATTAGTCTATGAATTGTTATGATTTCTTGGACAAAATAGTTCCTGTATCATTGTTTACCATTCATGGATCAAAATGAATAAAGCAAACTAACATATTTGCCAAAGGATGTGATAAGAAAAACAGAGATGAGGATGTTAGATTAATTTTTTTCTTTTTTTTTGGCATTATTCAGAAAAAAAGAAGATTAAAGAACCTTCTGAAGTGAGGCTGGAGTCTGACGAATCTGAAACTGAAGAACCAAGAGAAGGCAAGGATAATAGAGAGATAAAGCCACTGAAGGCACCAAAGAAAGTGGAAAGGAAAAAGATCAAAAAACTGAAAGAAAGTGAAAGAAAGAGTAAAGAAGAGAGTGAGGAGGAGGAGGAGGAGGAGGAGGAAGAAGAAGAAGAAGAAGAGGAGGAGGAGGAGGAGGAGGCAAGTGAAACAGAGAAAAAAGATGGAAAGAATAAAAGTAAGTGTTTGTTTCTTTTTGTTTGCAAATTGTGTGCAAATAAACTGTTCTGTTTCCAGAAGTTAAAAAAATCAAACTGGATCTTTTGGGTAAAATAAGATGAACTTATTTATCAAAGAAGACTTCTATGGTGAAGTGACCCTAAAAAGACTAGAAGTCCTACCAAGATTTATTATTGATTGGCACAATCTTAAAATAAGATATGCAGATGACACTTTGTTGATAGCAGACACAGAAAGAAAAATGGCAGGAACTCCTAGACCATACATTAAAGGTATGATGTTGTCAATTCCTTGACCCTTTCCACTTTCCCAATCAAACACTCACTAGCTGTTCCCCTGACAGCTGGTTCTTGTGGCACCTCAGCCTTTATTTAAAGAAATTTCACTGCTTTGGCAATTTACACCTTTCTTTCCCTTCACTATTTTTGACAAGTGATAAAAAAACAATTCTCCAACTTTGCCTTTGTCCCCCCCCACCCAAAAAAACCCCTAAATATCACCTCTTGATCAACTTTCCTTACTGGGTTATGGCCAACAGATAATTCCATAATCTAAGTTTTAAAAACAATAGTGTCTCTATTTCATAATCCACAAACAACAAATACAGCTGGGAGGCAAAAGAAAAAGAAGACAAGAATTGTTAATACAAAATTCTTAGAATTGCCAATAAAGAGGATGTGAGTGGAATGTGGGCAAGGCAAGTGACTTGGAGTAACTATAGTGTTGGTAGGGTCTGCAGTTGATGTGTGGGGTGGGTTGACTGAGGTCATGGTAGTGATGTTGAGAGAGGCTGGTGGCTGATTATTTGAAGCTTGCCCATTTGCAGTGAATATGTCACAGTTGTTATAAGTAACATTCTTAAAAGAAAAATGTAGTGGTTACTAATTTTGTCTTTTCTTTGGCAGCAAAATTCATAATTAACTTCTTTTATATTTTGTTTTGTGGGCTGGATGTGATGCTCATAGCCTCTGAGTAGAGGATAAGTTTTTTTTTCTTTTGGTTTCTTAGCATTCACATCGAGTTGGCATGTGGAGTGAATCAGAAAGAGAATTTAAAGCAGAATATAACACTTTCTTTTATTTTCCTTTCTCCTCCCTAAAGCCTTCTTATTCTCTTCCACAGCCATTAACTCTTTGTCTCTCAGAGACATTATGAATACCATTAGATAAATAGGAGAGTATGACATTTGTTGGAGATAAAAATTTTATGGAAAATTGTTGTTCAGAATAAGAATGTATGTTTGGGATAAAAGTGAAGCTTATTGAAGGATAAGTTTATTTAAGAAAGTTTTTAAAAATGTTGAAACTTAATGTATATTAGTGTGAAATTAAAATAGTGTTGTGAAATAGATTGACAAAGTACATATTCACACGTACACAATTTCTGATTTTAACAAACTCAGTTGGGGTTGGGTTTCTCAGAATTGTACCTTCAAATTATATTTCACAACTTTCATCATCTTTTTAATTAAAACTTTCATCATCTTTTTAATTAAAAGTTTTTACTTTTTTTCTTCAATCCATCATTTCTCACTTTTATGAATTGCCTCATTACTGAATATAGCTCATTTCATATCTCAAAGCTACCCTTCTCCCTGGTCTTTTGTACAGAAGTAGAGGTTTATCCCTTGTTCCCTGTTTAGGATTGAATTTCTGTTTTTTTCTAAAGTCTACTTCAATTCTATACTTTTAACATCTCTTTTCTCTTCAATAGAAGATAGTTTCAACTATCCTCTGGTTCCCACCTCTCCCTGGTCTTTTAAACAGGTGTAGAAGTTTATCCCTTGTTTCCTGTTTAAGATTGGGTTTCCTGTTCCTTCTAAATTCTTCTCATTCTTTTTCACTTCCAGTAGCCCCTTGTGTCTTAGTGGCATTATCACTTTGCTTTGGGTGAATTTATTAAAAAAAATATATATCATACCCTCTAAAGGAGTTGTAAATTCATTATACCTGTCCTGAAAAATGAATTACAAAATTCCATTCCTAAATTTTTTTTCCCAGATTCACCAAGCAAGAAAAATTCAAAGACAAAAGCAGGTGAAAAACTTCAAGGGAAAAAGGTGAGTTTATAATAGAATAATTCACAGAATTTCAGTACTTTCTTGTTGCATTCTTTTCTGTCTGAATTTATGAGAAAAGGCATTATTATTATTATTATTATTAGGGGTATTGAAAGTAATATTTTTATTTTGTAAAAAGACAAACATTTTTTATAAGAAAACATTTATTGTCTAATCAATGACCTAATTGGCATCATTATTTAACACAATTGTTCCTTTTGAAACCAACTTTTCAATTTCCAAATTGGAATTTGGTGTACTGATGTTGGCACTTGCAGATAGTTTGTCCATTTGGGTAAACAAAGTGCATCTTTTTGGGTGGCTGTCATTGTATTGTTACCCAGACAAAATTAATAGGAAATACGTGAATATAACACTCTTTAGTTGGGTTTTCACTTATCTTAAACAAGTAGCAATGCCAGGTTTGTTCACAGCGTGCAGCTTCTTCTAGATGAATGTTTGTGGTTTAATACAAGGAAAATAATTCTTTGGCTGAATTGTTACCCAAGAAATAAAACCATGAGATAAAATTGTAGCAATTGGCAAATTTTATTCCATTGCAATCTTCTTGTAAGGGTCGTCTGTAGGCAAGTGGGAAAAAGTGAGGTGAGGTGGCAAATGGTTTAACCATAGTCTGTCTTCCTTTCACATTGGTAGGCAAGCAGTCCTATCTTTGGCTGTTAAGGACCACTGTCTTATAGAGAACCAGCGTTATTTGTCCTGTCAACATTCACCTAAAAATTAATTCATCAAGTCCACTCCACTCAACTGACACTTTTTGTCAGATTGCTTGACCTGGTTCTTGTGAGGTCCTCTTCACTCAGCTGATCATCTTTGTCGAGATGACAATTGTCAAAATGATTTCTGTAACATTCTGCAGATGTCTCTTTAACAAGATATCAGCTGACAACTGATATTGCTACAAACAGTAAGATCTGGAAAGGAAATTACAATCAGGTTGTGAAAATAATAACACTCAGTTATGTTATATATATATATATATATATATATATATATACAATGAGAGCCTCAATTCATTTAATCTCTTCCAAGACTATGCTCTGTGCATATACAGATATGAATAGATGTTTCTTGATTATTTAAGCTAATGGGGGTGCTATACAAAAAAGAATATTTCCCAGTTTACATTTCCTCATTATTATATCTGTGATGTAGTAACACCTTGATACATGGATAGAACAAAATAGCTGAAAGAAAGGAATGACAATCATGCATTATTCTCAAAGAAATGTTTTATACCGATATACATATATTTATCACAAATTTTTCTGACACGGATAAACTATAGCATATGTATACAATAAGCTGTGTGAAAGGGAAGAAAAAGAGAGAGGGTCTTATTTGAAATGTTTCATGTCTAGTCTCCAGGCATGATAAATAGCAACTGTACAGACATGTCTTGCATCAGGGCAGAATAAACAGCAACTGACCCTCAACACTTCTCAATCAAATGGAGATAATTCCCCTTTGCATCCCTACAAAACATTGCATACCACATCCCAAGCAAATTTACTAATAGAAAACAGCATTCCTGTTTTCTCTTTCACTGATGATGAAGAAGGTTATGCTGATGACATAGGTATTCCTATTTGAGATAAAGAATGGCCTTGAAGATAAAAAAAAAACTAATATTCTCTACCAATTGTCCAAAGAAATCGAACACAATTTAAACCTTTCCAAAACAGAAGCTATGATCTGGAACTAAAATGAAAGCAGTGATGGCACCTACCCTGAATCCATTATAAAAATTCAGGACAGAGAATATTCAACACTTTAAATGAGTAGATCAGTTATAATATCTTGTCAGCTGATCTCTCTCTCTATCCCTGTCTGTGCCTATTGGCTGGTTTATATAAGAAAATCTCATATGCACTTTTTGGCATTAATTTATTGCATCTGTTTGTGAGCTTTCTTTGTTTAAAAAAAAAAAAACAGATGGCCTTTGTGGAATGCATTCATCCCAAAGCCACTAACATTGGACTTGGTAAGATATAAATATTTGTTGGGTTTGATAGTATTTTAAATAAACATAGCACAAATTTTTCTTTGGAATTTGGAAAATTTTAGAAGAACATAAATCTTATACTGTTCTGGAAGCATCTGCTTGGATTATTTCATAGCCTTCTCCAAACTCATTTTATGGCTTCTAATTATTTTTAATTTGTCCTTTGTCCTTTTTTTTCTTTTTCTCCTCAATGCTTAATTAATTTCACAGAGTTTTTTCACAGTTTTATTTTAATTATTTCCTGTTTGAAATCGTCATTAAAATATTGAATCAGGGTCACGACCCTGTTATATAAGTAAATAAATAAAAACTTTTGGGATTATATGTTACTTGGCTGGAAGGTAAGGAATTCCAGTCATAGGCTTATATAGTCAGGCTGCATTCTAGGAGACAGTTGAAGAGTCACAGCTAGAGTGAAAAAAGAGATATAGGGATGGTCTTCTTGCTGGTTGGAGAGATGATCTTGTTTTTTAGTTTTTCATGAGAGAAGACAAAGGTTGCAGTGAAGGTGTCCCAAGTGTCATTTACCTTCTCTTCCCAACATTGTATAATAACGAACCCAGAGGATTTGTGATTTTTTTTCTTGCTGTTGCAACATTTCACTTTCTGTTTCTTTGTTGAACTTACACCTAGCCTTCCCCAGTTTTTGTAGGATGTATGGGTGGTGTAATGAATAGTGGCTGAAATGATAAATTGGAGATTCTAGTTCAAATTCCAGTCAGGTTCGTTACATTCACTTAAGTGCAAATACTTTGTGAAAGGTATGAATCCATCTCCCCCCACAAGTTATGGATCAAATCGTAGGGCCTGAATCTGGAAAAAAAAGTAATTTGTTATTCTCAAAAAAATTGTTAATGCAATATTCCCTTGTAAAGAAAGATATGTTTTAGCTTTAACCCCTTCCCTGCCAATTGTTTTGGGAAAACTGTTTCATTTTCAGACAAATTTTTTTATTTGTTTTTAATATAGTAACTAAGAAACTGAGCCACCTTGAAGTACCCGAGTGGTGGCTAGCACCTCTACCAGATGTATGAGTTGACAATTGGACTTGTTTCAAGTTCAGAAGAGCATAAAAAGAATCAAGACTGACCTATAAACACTTCTGTAGCTGTTTTCAGATGTTATGTTTTGGATGTGTTTATTTGTCCATATCGGTAAAAACATATATACACGTTTATGCCAGGGAAGGGGTTAAATAAGCCATAAAGAGTTGCTAAGCTGTAAAAAGCCAAATCAATCCCAGTTCAGATTAACACAAGCGGGAATTGAACCACCAGTAAGTGAAAAACTGCCAATGGTCGTATGCTCACTGTGATAATGACGATGAGGATGAAAATGAAATGAGATTTTCTTTTTTCAATTGTCAACATAAAAAAAAGTTGGTGACAGTCAATAAGAAAATGTCTGTTGATTTTGGCTTTTGAAGGAGGAGGAATGTTCTGAAGAAGAGGAAGTAAGTGAAGGAGTGAGTAGGAAGCAGAAAGAGAAGAAGAAGAAAAAGACAACTGAAAGTGAGAAAAAAGAGACTGAAGGTGGTTCAATTGATAAAATGGTTTTTGCTGAAGATCTCCAGACAGAGGCTGAGGACCAAGAAGATACCACAAATAAAAAGGTAAATGCTATAAAGTAATCAAGTGCCCAGAGAAATTGGTTAGAATGTTGAAAAGACCCATTTGTTCCAAGACATAATTGGACAGGGATATGGTTTGGAATTCTGTTTTTTTAAATCTAATTTTTAAGGAGAACTAGGCAAAAATAATTATCACTGTCAATTGTCTAAGGCGGCAGTACAAATTGACTGGAAGGTGGGAAAAACTGAAACAATTTTGGCATCAGGGTTGTCCATTAGAACTATATGCAGGGACACCTATCCATGTGCAAAATGACACAGCTAATTGTCATCAGTGGCACCCACTCACATTGGGATTGTCATCCTCTCTCCCTATTTTCTTTTCACCCCACCCCTGGTGGCAGTGTTGGAGATAGCTGTGAATGAAGGCAAGTTTGATGAGGTCATTTGAATGAATTTGATTCTGGTGGACAACTCTTCATGACAGAGAAGGCCACACACTTGGTCAGAAGCACCTTCCTTGCAACTGAAAAGGGGGATTGAAGCAGGCAAGATCTGGCAAACCTGGTTGCATTAGGTTAGGTAGATGCTTGGTCTGTCAAGGTCTGCCTTGGTTACTCCAGCTCAACTGGTGCTGCCCTCATCTGCCAGTTTGGCCATTGAGATTGTGTAGACCTTTGCCTATTCTACTGTTGGGGGGATCTTTGGAGGGTTAGGGCTTGGTTGCATCCAGTTTGGCCCTCCTTGACCTTACTGCCATGGGTGAGGCCCTGTTGGAGTTGGAAGTCTGGATGGCTTCACCCTTGGGATCACTGGGTTACACAAGCCATGACAAGGAATGAGCATTTTTATATTTTACGCTGAATGTCAGTGTGAACAGTTCGTTATCAAATGTGCCACTTTGACTTATTACTTTAATGACAATAACAGAAACGAATCAATAAATAAGAAAAAATAAAAGTATAAAATTATCATTAAAGATATGAGAACATTTTTTATTTGAGAGAAAATAAAAATAAAAATAATAAAGAAAGAAATTCACAACTGAACCAATAGTAAAAAAATAAAAACAAAATAACATTACAACTCTAAATGCTTTCCTTAGGTGAATGTTACATCAAGTGGTCTTTAGAATTCACTCAACACATTATTCAGACCAGTATCTTTATCATTGTTATTTTTATCTCAACATTTCAGTCAATTCATTTTTTAGATGTATCTTAAGAGTAACCATTTTGAATGAAATTAATAACAATTAAATGCTTCTGATGCCATCTAATATCTCATCATTTAATTAAAAGTAATCATTTAATGAAATTAGTTATAACTAAACACTCCTAATGCTATATCTGAAAAACAATGTTTTATCATCAATTTGCTATTTTAATAAAATGTTCTCTTTGTTTTTCTTTTCATTTTTTTTTTACAGTCCTCAACTTGTAGCATCTTATAAGCAGACTTTTACAGTTGTTGACCATGTTTGAATCTGCACTTTTTGTGGTTAACCAACCATTGAGAGTAAGAAAAGAGGTTTGATTTAAGCATTGGTGAAAATTGGCCAGAGAGCCATAGTGACTTTGAAATATCTTTATTCTTTGAATCTCTGTTTATAATAATAATAATAACCATTATAAAAAAAAATCATTATCATTATTAATGCTCTATCCTTTGATATTGAGCACTGTAATTACAAAGAATTCTTGTCTAAATCATTATCTTCCTGGAATAGTCTGGTCAGCTGTATTTTTTATTGAAATGTATTAAGTGTAAAGTTGGTTAATTCCAATGTTCAAACATTATATTTTAAAAAGTGCTCAATACAGAGTAGAGCTTAATAATATTTATTAACAATTATAACAAAATAATGTTATAAACTGCTACACAAATGCAATCATATTTCAACACTTTAGGGAAAAACTAAATTTCTAACAAGCTACAGAATGACCTAGATTAACCAACCAAATGTCGGACCTGTGATGAGTTTGAAGTTAACTTCTGTATTGTAAACTATCAAAAGATGAAATATACAAACAAATACTGAGTACATTTGTATATTGGTTTGTTTTGCTTGGGTGTTTATGTGTATATTTATATATATGTGTATGTATGTGTAGCCATATATGGGTGTGTATGTGTGGGGGGGGTTTATTGGTATGTATCTATGTATGTATATGTATGTTTATATGTATGCGTATACTTGTGTATATATGTATATGGGTATGTATAGCTATATATATAAATTGGTAGTTATTATTGCTGCTTTTGAATTTCTGGGTCTATTATAATTGTTGGTTTTTGGTTGCCTTGCCTGGTAAAAGGGACTTTTGTGTATCAGCTATAATGTTCAAGACAAAATCCAACGGGCGCCTTACTTCCCTTTCCCTCTCCCCCTTTTCTACCCCCCACATCTTATCGTGCTTTAGCCTGTCAAGCCACTGATATAGATATGAAGCATGGACAGGTTTATTGGTAGAAATAAATCTTATACCTACAATAAATAACCATGATGAGGAGAACCTTGTATGAAGCTAGTGTGTAGCACCAGTTTAATCACTTATCGTTTGCTTTCATCTTGATAGTTTACATTCTTATGTGAGTTAAGACCAAAGAATACTATAAACTTGACACTTTGTTAACATCTAAATTTGATTTAAAATAACTTGTACAGTCAACAGGAATCCAATATGACTTTAACTTCAAACCTATCATAGGTCCAACATCTGATTGGTTAATTGAGGTCACTCCCTAGCATGTTAGAAATGTAGTTTTTTCCCCTTCTCCCCTCCTTCCTGTCAGAGTATCACTAGTTTTAAACCATAAAATGTTCATTTATATCAGTTAGCCACCACCACCTCAAGAAGCACCTATAGTACTGAAACATGATTCCATTTATATAGCAGTTTATAACGTGTTTTTCTTATAATTGTTAATAAATATTTTATATATATATATATATATATATATATATATATATAATAATAATAAAATATAGTTTTGAGGTATAGTATATTTATGGACAAAAGTGCTCAATATCAGTGATATAGCATATGTAAATATAAAAGTGAACACTGAGGCCAACACCTAGTGACAACAGTGATTCATACTTGAACGCAATCTTCAGTGAATACATATAAAGTGGACACTGAGGTCAACACTGGGCTCTATCACTGATATTGAGCACTTTAATCCATAAATATAGCATACCTTAAAACTATATTTTTATCATATATATATATATATATAGAGAGAGAGAGAGAGAGAGAGAGGGAGCTGCTGAAATTTTCTTGGGTTGATTAAGAATGAATTCTCAAAAAATAAATTCTGATGTTGAGTCATCATTTGTACAGATTGGATTTAAATTCAGAGTCATCCTTCAATTTGATGTACTGCCTTCTCAAGTTGTCTTGCTATTTAACCCATAGCTGGAGCAGGAGAGGGAGAAATGAATTTACACTTCCCCAAGGGAATTACTATGAATGGGGTATAATGGACAGGGCCTAAAGTGTATTTAGAGAAATGACATATAGTGGATACTTCATTCACACAGTTACTTGTGTATATACAGACATTTACTATAATTTTTTAAACACACAGACATATATATATATATATATATATATATATATATATATATATATGCTTGGTCTAGGCAATCTAGTCTTCAAGCACTTTACTGAGTAGGTAAGTTTGCTTTAGGCTTTTTTTGCTCTTTCTTTTTTCAATATTGTCGTTTTTATTCGAGATTTTATCTGGATAAGAAATTTAGGTCTTGACAAGTTATTCATTGGTTCTTTTTCTTTGTCTTAAATATATATATATATATATATATATATATATATGAGAGAGAGACATAGATGTCATGACTGTATGCTGTTGTTAGAAGATTGACATCTCTTCATTGATCACCACATGACAATGTGCATGTATATACCTCTTTAACTCAACCTCAGTCTTGTATGATCATTTGTAGATGTAACAATAAATTTATTCATCTTTCGAGGTCATCAGCTGAAAATTTTTTTATCTATTATGGCTAATTAAGTGAGAAGAAATAATGCATAATTGTCAGCAAAAGAGGCAGCTGAAGTTGTGAGCTAAATATTGGGGATGTCAAAGTAAACAGCTACAGAAATGTAACTATATGGATAGTGGAGTAACAGACGACAGGAATTGTAGCACAATAAATATGAAGAAATGATAAGAAAAGGGAAATTTGCCTTCCAGAAAGTAAGCAAAGAATAGGAAAATGTTGGCAGAAATAAATGGAAAGAGCACTGGACTACTATGTAATCTCTTATATGAGAGTGAATCATTGAAACACCGGTTCTTGTACAATCACTGAAGTTAAGCAATGTTGAGCCTGGTCAGTACCTAGATGGGTGACCACTTGAGAATAGCAGGTGCTGTAAGCTTGGATGTGCAGGTGGTGTAATGGATGGTGGCTCAGAATTGTTAATTGGAATCCCCAGTTCCAATTCTAGTCAGGTTTGTTATATTCACTTATATGCAAATACTCTTGGGAAAGTTATGAATCTTCTTCTTCCCCCAGCTATGGGTTAATTAGTAAGACTTGTATCACTAAAACTATTATTATCTCCCTACAAAAATAAAGTTGAGTAAAAAATATTTAGATTTTGGCATTAAATAAATGATAGAGGTTAATATGCTGCTAAACAAAAACAATCAACCAATGATTTACAATTTAAACCATACATAGGATGGGCATGATGTGGTGGGCATAGTGGCAAAACTTCCTCAGAAACTGCTTTAGTTTCATATACACACACACATACATACATACATATATATATATATATATATATATATATATATATATATATATATATATGTGTGTGTAAATATAAGAGTAAGCATCCATTTATTTTGTAAGGTAAAAGTAGTGCCTTGTTTGTTCAAAATCTAGTCTTTTGGTGGTGAGACTAGAGTCACCTTTCCATTCTGTAGGCGTGGCTGATGGTATTTGGAGGCTGTGCACTGCCCAGACCACATGGCTTCCCTCTCTGCTGTACTGATAAGATCCAAAGGAATACATGGCATTACATTTGGAGCTGGCTTGGCTGCAGTAGTTTCCTGGAGGAGTTGTCAGTGTTGACAGTCAATGACCTTTGGCACGCTGGTCTTGATTTACCATAGTCGTTTCCATGTTTGGATAAGACCATAAAGCAGAGGAGGTTTAGAATCAGGATTTTCCTGCCTTCCTGGACTGACGAGTGCCATTTACCTAAAGTGTCTAGTTATGAGGTACCAGTTGTCCACCTTCATTCTCCAGTTAGATTCGGTTGTCAGAAGCTATTTGAGACACATGTCATAGGAGTGTTTTATAGACAATGGGAGTTTTTTCACTACCAGCAAAATGGCTGTCAGAGTTTATATATCATATATATATATATATATATATATCCCGATAAGAACTGATAAGGTCTGTCTGTTTAATTTTATTTTTCCAGTTTTCAAATAAGGTTTTGTGCATTGGGGCAAATAATGGATAAACTGTTTGAAATTCAGGTTGTGTTGTTCAATTGCTTTTGACGGTCTTGGTCATTTTCAAAAACAAATGTGGTGTCAATAATCTTACAAATTCCAACCCCCAAATATATCAATTAGAGGCCCTAAACTAACTGATACTTTCATATTTAGCTAGTAAGTATAGCATTAACTCCATGAGTGAATTCCTTGGAATATTACAGCCTAATAAACCAAATAATGTCTTTGTAGCCTCGTTAGAAATTCAATATTTCCACTAAACCCCCTATATACATCCATTATAATGATAGCTTCTTCATATTAGCAAAAAGCTCAGACAAAAGAAAAAACCTTAAAGAAACTTTTGAGAGTAACTCTGTCCTATACTTTACATAAGAACTCAATATTAATAATAGAATCTCTTTCCTTGATTTTTTAGTTGATGCCAACAGCCATAATTTTACCACCTCTCTTTATAAAAAACCCATGAGCATAAACTACAAATGTTAATATCCTCATAGACACAAAATATCTGTTATAAAAACATTTTACCACATTAAAATAATCTCTTCAGACACATTTTTCTATAACACTGGTTCTCAAACGGTGAGGTATACCTCATAGGTGCAGAAGAAGATAGCAGGTGAGGTGGAACAATTGAAAAATGATCAAATATTTAGTAACAGCTTTAAAAAATTCATATGCCAAAAATAAATATGATTTCAAAATTTAAAATATTATTATAGATTACTTGTAATTGCAAACATGAGTCTGAGTATAAATAGTTCTAAATAATTATTGACTGATTTTATCATTGTGATATTTTTGCATTATGTCAAGTATTAAGAATATAGTAACTAGGGTCTGCAAATTGGAGGAGATAGTTGTTAATGATAATTTTCTGACTTTGAATCCACAGTTATATCCCTTTAACCCTCTCTCTGGACCTTCTTTGCTATCCTTGAAAAAACAACATGACATGAATTTTAGACAGTTTATA